TCCGCCCACTCTCTCCACCCCTCCGCCAAGATCGTCAGCAATCTGTGCTTCCTCCAGAGAAGGTTCCACCAAGAGGAAGCTGTCGGGAAAGCTAGGAATCTCCACTGCGAATGCTTTCAACCCAAGACTTCAACGTAGGTACCCATGACTTGAACACTCTCCTTTCAAATACTTTCTCAGACGGGACAGCAGGCGTAGTTCCGCTCCCTCCTTCCCTGTGTCTATCAGGAAGTGATCCTGCCACAAAATCCCTGCCAGGGCGGGAAAGAGAGGCAGCTCGGGCTCCACGGAGAGGCTGAGAAGAGACAGAGTGACGGAGGCGTATCGCGCTATCCGAGCAGCCAGAGGTGGGGGCAAGGGCAAGAAGAAAATGCAGAAGACTTGTTCTCCTCAGTGGCCTTTTCCCTGAGTTTGAATTTTGAGTTGAGGTCTTACCTAATTTCAACTCAAAAAAATGTAAGAGTATCTCTCATCGACATATTCATTAAGCTCTGGCTGCAAGATGGCACCTGACACCAGTTGAGGGTTTCGAACTCCTTTCCCATGGAGCTCCAGGGGCACAAGAGCAGTGGGGCACGAGCCACCCCCTCTACCCCCATATGCACAGACGTCTGAGCCCTCCCCACCTGGAATGCAACAGGCACCTTCCCCGTAGTGACATGCCAGCTCCAGTCCCAAAGCACTCAAGTCCAGGGCCTCCTGCAAAATACTTACGGCAAACGGCTTTACAGTATTTGTACATTTACACAAAAATAGATCCTTTTTGTATATATAGATATATATATATATTTATAGCTGGTTACACGTTGGATTCATAATTAGGCATCACCAGTAGTAGTTGGCACAGTTTTGTCATTTAAGCTCAGGGTCAAGTTCTGTTTCATTTTGCTGTTCCAAAGTACACAAAGGAAAAAAAAAAAAAAAATCAAAGAGCTGAGCATGGTGGCTCACACTTGTAATCCTAGCACTCTGGGAGGCCTGAACTGGGAATATCACTTGATGCCAGGAGTTTGAGGCCAGCCTAAGCAACACAGTGAATCCTGCCTCCACAAAAAAGTAGAAAAATGAGCCGGGAGTGGTAGCGCATGCCTGTAGTCCCAGCTAACTCAGGAGGCTGGGACAGGAGGATAGCTTGAGCCTAGGAGTTTGAGGTTGCAGTGAGCTATGATGATACCACTGCTCTCTAGCCTGGGCAACAAAGTGAGATCCTGTCTCGAAAGGAAAAACAAAAACAAAACAAACCCCAAAAAAGGCCTTTCTCTCTTCTGAGGATACAAAAAGAAGAAAAAAAAAAAAAAACTGAAAGGAAAAAAATAAAAAAAAAATCAAAGGCATTTCATCCTCATGGTGTGTTCTCAAATGCAGCCATGTTGTTGTAGGAAACCGTATGTACAGATGAATGCGGCCTCCAGACCGCTCCTGTGTGGCTCGGAGACGGGGCCGGGGTCTGCAGCAGGCGGGGTCAGTGGGGCCGGCTGCTGGACTCCGATGCTTGCCTCTTGCGTGAAGGCGTGTAGCCGTTGAGATAGCCGTTGGTCTGCCGTTTAGAGAGCCCTCCGTTCAGGATGTCCTGGATGTGCTGCACGATGAGGTTGATGGCCACTGTGGGGCAGAGAGCGACAGCGTGAGGGGCGAGGGCACACACTGCAAGACCGCGATCGTGGGCCGCTGTCTGGGTGAAAGGGCACACAGGAACCACGGGTGAAAGACTTCCGGGGCAAGTGGCTCTGCCAGGCAACCTCCAGGTGCCTCCAACAGGCCTGATGGGATCTCCCTCACAGGAGGGTTCTGAGAGAGACAGACAATGCCTCACACAGAGCCAGCCCTCGGCGAATGGGCGTCTCATCCGCTGAGCAGAGTCACCGCCGGAGGAAGCAAGCAACCAGAACTCTGCAGACCTGCTGAGCAGCCCCGGTCCCAACACCACGAGTCAGCTAGGAGACCCTTCTGCCAGGGAACCTGCCAGCTTTCCATCCCAAGATAGAGCAACCCCATGGAAGATCTCCTCTCGCCAAAACTAAGGTGGAGCTATCTTTTATTAAGATTAGAAATAAATTATACACATTGACCAAGCGATCAATGTTAACATCACCATAAACAGAATAAACATCAAGTGCTTTCTGAAATGATACGTAAAGAATAACAGCACATGACAACTATCCCATGATATTCCTCCAGACTGTAGGAACTGAATCTAATCGTGAGGAAACAAAGGGCAAACCCAAATTGAGGGCCATCCTACCAAGCAGTGGGGCTGTGCTCTTCAAAAATGTCAGTGTCAAGGCAAACAAAGGCAGGCTGAGGAACACGTCTGGGTTAAAGATTATACCCATAGTAAGGTTCCTAAATTTGATGACTGCACTGTGGTGATGGATAAGAACGTCCTTGTTCTTAAAAATATACAGTGAAATATTTATTGCTTTGACCGACTCCCAAACAGCTCAGCAAAAAAAATAAGCTTTTAAAGGGAGGGAAAATGACATAAATTATAAAGAGAATAATAAGACAAGGTCCTGTCTTAGAGATCAACTCGGCCACACTATGTCTAGTCCAGGGATACTCATACGTACTTCCCAGACAAGCAAAGAAATAAATATAATAACGGTGGCAAAGGGCTCCGTTTATGAAGGACTACCATGATGGCAAGGAGGAAACCTGCTTTTGCTAGAAGGTGACTTCAGATGCAAGGTATCCACGTGTCACTGCTGGGGAGGGAGTGTTCCTCACTCCTCGATGAAGAGGTCTACAGATCTCTACTTCTGCCTAAGAAGCACCAGTTCACACATGTCCACATATGGGTATGCACATGTGCCAAGGGCCTGTCCCCAGGCCAGGTGTGCAGTGGCAATGCCTTGCTGGCTCACCATCACAAACCAGTGGTGCAGCCAGGTCTACTAAGCTCATCTGGTCACCACGTCCTGACTGACAGGGGCAGAAGTTATGTGCCGCAGGAGACACTCCGCCAGGACTCACCTAGATTATCTGCACCTCTGGGATTATCACATCAGCATATTCTTTGTCTGTAGAGAAAGATATTTACAATGCATTAACAGAGGAGTTCAGAGACAAACTGGCCCAGCCCTCCGCTCCAAGGGAATGTGGGGAAAGGAGCAGCCTAGCATGGAACTTCGAATATGTTGTTTACAACTTCATAGTGAATGCTCTAAACATCTGGGAAACTAAGGAAGTGCCTTATTTAGGTGAAATGTGAATGAAAGAAGGAAGCAGGGCCGGGTGTGGTGGCTCACGCCTTTAATCCTAGCACTCTGGGAGGCCAAGGAGGACGGATTGCTCGAGGTCAGGAGTTCGAAACCAGCCTGAGCAAGAGCGAGACCCCGTCTCTACTATAAAATAGAAAGAAATGAATTGGACAACTAAAATACATAGAAAAAATTAGCCGGGCATGGTGGCGCATGCCTGTAGTCCCAGCTACTAGGGAGGCTGAGGCAGAAGGATTGCTTGAGCCTAGGAGTTTGAGGTTGCTGTGAGCTAGGCTGACCCCATGGCACTTTAGCCTGGGTGACAGAGCAAGACACTGTCTCAAAAAAAAAAAAAAGAAAAGAAAGAGAAGGAAGCAGGGAATGAGGAATGAAGACTATATGTATCAGTGAGGGAAAGTGGTCCAGGCTAAGTGGTTAATTCAAAACCAGTTTATAATTCAACTATTAATGATCTACCATGGATTTTTAGCTATATAATAATTTAACTTTTTCTTGAGTTTTATTACATTGTTTCACCTTACGACCTGCACAGGGAACATGATCTTTGAAACCAAACACTTAATTGCCACCATTAGGAAAAATGTGAATTAGAAAAACCCAAACTTAAATGGGGACTGGTTCATCTTGGACTTTCACACACAATCTGAAAGGTGTTTATTCACTCCTAGCACAGGGACAAAATTATGAAAAGTAATCTTTACCGATGACCACTTTCACTGGCTCTATTATTATACTATTAAAAAAAAAAGTAAAGCCAGAGACACATTCTTTTCCTCCTTTTTTTGTTTTAAATTTACTCAGCAGGGCACCTCACACCTGTAATCCTAGCACTTTGGGAGGCCAAGGCAGAAGGATCACTTGAGGCCAGGAGTTCCAGACCAGCCTGGGCAAAACAGCAAGACCCCATGACTACAAAAAATTAGCCCAGCCTAATGGTGCAAGCCTGTAGTTCCAGCTACTTGGGAGGCAACAGGGCAAGACCTTGTCCCTCAAAAAAAACAAAAAAGGAAAAGAAAGAAAAACTGTCCTGAGATTTTTATGGACCATTCTACAAATAACTGTGTCCTGGCATACAACCTAAGTTTAGCATAAGACCACAAAAACAATTCTTTGATTGTGTGGGCATCCTTCCTCTGTGCAGTTTCCATGCTAGAACTGTTGAAATCTGACAGTGTCAGGCCCAAACCCATGGCTTTACAGGGGAATGAGCTGGTCTTCCCTGAGTACAGTGGCTACACAGCGGGGACAAGCAGAAACAGCCCAGAAAACACTTGTCCAGAATTCTGAGCTCCATTACAACTAAGTTAAACAGCAGAAAACTGGCAGTTTACTCTAACTGATATCCAATAATAAATGTACTTTGTATTCTTATTATTAAGTTAAAAAGAGCAGGAGAGATCTTCAGACAGATAAAGGGATGGGAAGGATTTTATGAGCCTCTTTCCAGTAACCTAATCTTGTAACCCAGTCGTCTTCCGGGGTGATGAATCAGGCACCAAGGTTACTCAGCTGACTCAGAAACACCATCTGTCCCTGATCTGAAACTAAGTCCAGTTTGGTGTAAAACCTACTAGCAGACTTAAAGAAACAAAGACAGCTTGGGATCATATTTTTCCAGGAGAGGAAAAAAAAAAAAGAAGTTAATTACTGGAATAGATAAAGCAAGTCCCATACCCAACCTTACTCTAAACCTATTCTCAATGCCTTCGGATTCCACCCTTCCCAAAGACCTCACCCAAGACAGGTGAGACCCCAATCTCCCTCCCCACCCCTCTCTTTCTCTCACAGCTTAATTATAAATAATTAAGGAGCCAGATCATGGTTTGACCAAGCTAGAGAAGACACATAGCTGAGATGTAGGGTTCTCCTGAGTTAAATACTTCTCCTTCCAAAACTAGGTTCTCTCTCACATCTTCCTCCACTGGACCCCACCAAACCACACCCTGTCTCTGGTGCCCTGCCCTGTCCTTCCCCAGGAAATAGAGGGCATTTCCTGGGCTGGGGGCTGATTTGCTAAAAAGCTGCTAGTTTGCCCTCTTCCCTCCTTCGTTCTCTGAAAGCCACCTCCCTAGGGAGTTCCCATCGACCGTGGGGAAGGACTGGGAAGTGTGTGCCGCAGGCGGTAGAGGCGAGGAAGCTTATTCCAGTTTGGCACGACATTTCCCAGTCGGGCCTTACACAGGGGCCAAAGACACGCTCAAAGTAGGGCTCACCTGTAGCGGTGGGAGAGGTTCAGAGGGCACAGCTTGGGGCAGAGCCCTCAGTGCACCAACACCCCAGGCATCTCGGACCTTGGAGAGACCCAGATGGCTGAGCCTGATCCTCAGACATGAAACGCCCTCAGTACAGGGTCTCATGCCATGACCCCACCAAGCGGGAGTGTGGAGTGTAGAACTTGCTGGGAATCGAAGAGCCAGCCTAAGGACTGGCAGGGCCCGACAGGGCTACCTGAAGAAAGGACAGCAAGAGAGAGCTCCCAGGGAACCTCGAGGCAGGATATAGGACCCAAGGCTGCCCTCTCTTGGGACTTCAGGACAGAGGATCACTCCATCACTTTACGTACCTTCGTATGTATCATTAAACTATAAGCTCTACAGTCCACAAAAACAAACCGAGAACACAACTCACCGGCAAGCAGAACTCCTCAAAGGCGGGCTTGACGAATGTGATGTACTGAGATAAAATCTGCTCGAGGTCCCTGCCTCTTTCGCTGATGTCCCTCAATACTGTAAGAGAAGGGAACACAAGAATCAAGAACACAGTGCAGGATTCCGCAACCATCCGCCCTCTGCAAGGCCGGCAGCAGCTTCGGGAAGAAGTTACGTGTTTATAGCTTTCGATGGTCAAAAATGGTCTCTGAAACAAAAGGTCACCTGGCCAAGGCCCACGGCCTTCTTGTTTCACACGGTATCTGACCCAATCACAATTTCAGTGAGAACCAGGAAAAGTCAGGACCGCCTGGAGAGCGAAGTGGACTGGGTTTCGGCTGCCCCCTTGCACCCATTTACCTGTGCTCAGAAGCAAGTCCAGGGACCCACCGCCCAGGCACCAGCTCCCTGCTCCAGCTCCACCCACGCCCCCTACAACGGGCGGGGGCTGCAGAGGACCCAGCTGCCATTGCCACTCCTGCATACCTCGAGCTCTGAGGTTTGCAAACCGAAAACTCGCTTAGAGAAGCTGAGAAAGAAAATGGTGGGCTGGGGCAGTGACAAAGCCCAGGTTGACACAATCTCACCATCTTCTATCTGCTACCTTCTTTTTCCTGGACAGGGACTTTTCGCCATATGCTTTTTTAAATTTCTTTTTTCTCTGATAGAGTCTTTTGTCAAAAAATAGAAAGAAGACTGATCATTCTGGTTCTGCCAGATACACTAACCTCCTCGAGCCATGGTTTACCCCTTTTAAGGAGTGAGTTTGCCAGGAGAGTCTCTCAATCGAAACAGCCCCTCCTTATAGATGTCATTTTAAATTTTATCGCCTGAGCTGCCAAAACTTTCGCCCCCACCCCAAAAGGTTATCATCTCCATCAACAATGACTTGCAAAGACCCTTCAGCGCCTTCTCAACCATTTCTCAGTTAACAGACTCAAGTGTGGGGTGAAACGCACTGTAAACAAACACGGGGAATATCTGTGAGTGAATTTCTGCAAAGCCAGGCCTGAAAATAATTCTGTGTTTACACACACCCACACATCCACAGGGACAGGGACAGGGAAGGAGGAGGGTGCCTCTGTTATGATCCAGACTGACATGAAATGCAGAATACCAGGACGCTGCAAAACTGGCAGGAAGAGCACATTCCAGAAAGCCAGGTATTAATGCTACCAATCATCTGACTTTAATACCAGCGTCTAGATTTACAAAGTGTTTTATTCCACAGGTGCCCCAGTAATATTAATAAAATGGTTGGCTGGTCCTGAATGTGTCGGGACCTGCCTGCCCAGCCGGGCAGCAGCGACGCCCTCTCCAGCTAGCGGTTTTCCTGCCATTCGCACCCATAGTCCTGCTGCTCCTGCGGCTGCCCTGGCGGATCTGCCGTGGAGACTCAGCCAGGGAGCAGCCCGGGGACCTGCCACGTGGCTGGCCCACAGAAGTCCTCGGAGCTCTGGCACACGGAGTTAGTGAGTTTAACCCGGCCAAAGGCCAAAACACACAGCCAGAGCGGCCTGCGATTCTTCACACGTCTCCAGATAAAGCCCAAAGAAAAAAGGAAGCCAGATCAAAAGGGTTATCTGAGCTGGGGAAAAACACACACACACACCCGAACTTGAGCGGCCTTTAATTAAAGCCCTACAGACGCAGATGCCAGGTTTGTTTCGCAACGTATTTTTCACACAACTGACAGCGTGAGCACTGCAGGAGGCTTTGTCATTCTCCCAGCACACAGGTACACGCACCGCACACGCACACTGCCGCCCCGCCCTCCTCCTGCCCGCCCTCAGCCCGGGCCTCGGCCCCCTTGTGTCTGCAGACCCCGTGACTTCATCCTGGTCGCTGGAGAGAAGCTGGCCGGGCGGAGAGCAGGGGGAGGAGGTGAGTCGCAGCGAATCTGCTCTACAGCCCAAAAGCTGCCTATCGGGTGACCCTGACCTGGACCTGAACCCTGACCCTAGCAACTCCTACCTGTGACCTTGGACAAGCTACTTCACACCTCTCTGAATCTCAGTTTCCTTAACTGTGAAATAGGGACAATAACAATTTCTTCCTCGTAAAGGTCATTTAGGAATACGGGGGGGAGAGTGGAAACCCCCTCGGCACAGCCCCTGGCACCTGGTACACGCACGCTAACACGTGTTTCTGTGCTGATGGTGATGCCAACAGAACCTAAGGGAGCTTCCGGAGCGTGGGGGCTCCCCGAGAGGCAGCCCGGCGCAGCGGGAGGGCAGGAACCACAGACTCGGGCCAGCAGCCCCGGGAGGGACTACTGCTGGGCAGCTGGAAAGGCAGGGGTGCCAGGCAGGACGGGATGGCAGGACACAGACACAAGGAACGACAAGCGAAGGGGGAAGAGGGAGAAATGGGGAAAGTAGTGAGGAGACACACACACTACAGCTTCCACGAATCGGGTCAGAATGTGGCCCAGGCCGTGGGGACACACAAAGTCAAAAGGCACTGCCCACCTCTGCTCCCCAGGAGCCTCTGATAGAGCTACTGCCTTAAGCAGTCTGGGACCCCTCCCTGAGCCAAGGACAACACAAGGCCAGCCAGGTCCCTGCTCCTCAGGCAGCCAGGAAACAGGGCCAGGCAGGCCAAGGACTGAGTCAGAGCAGGGTCTTAGCACGAACTGGAAACTCCAACGACTCAAAACCAGCGCCTACATCAACACCCAGACCCCAGCACATTTGCTGGGCCAAGACAGGCCCTTTCAGAGGATGGGCTAAAGGGTAGGAAGCCACAAGTCTACCCGCATTCCCTGCTGGGCTCTCCACTTCAGCCTTTCCAAATCCAAATAACTCCTTCTGGTTAGCCAAAGACAAGAACAAAATTTAGAAGGACCCAAAATAAAGTCAATACCTCAATGGTGAAGTCCACCCACTTTAAAAATTAGATAACAAGTGTGTTACCCTATAGTAAAAGAACAGAATGAACTCGCGCAAGGCCCAGTGCAGCCCGTTTCTACCCGAACAGGCACAGGGACTGGCGCGCCAGGGCAACAAGGTGTCAGCATCCCGAATCCCCCGCCCACTTCCTCCCTGCCCCGTGTTCGAGGGTGGATCGGGGCAAAGACACACACGTGCAGGGGGGGCCGGCAGGAAGGAGGTACATCTGTCTATCCAGGGCTGCGTCACTCACAGGCAGACCCCTCCCACACAAGGGTCAGCGTGGAATGTGGGGTCCCAAGCCCAGGAGGGTAGTGCTACTGTGCTGGGAAGTTTCCACACTCCCCCTGTATTCCTAAATAACGTTTAAGGGGAAGATACCATGATTGTCCCCATTTCACAGTTAAGGAAACTGAGATTCAAAGAAGGTAAGTAGCTTGTCCAAGGTCACAGGCAGGAGTTACTGGGGTCGGAATCCAGGTCAGCTTGGAATGCCAGGGTCCTGTGCCCAGGAGGATGGGTGTGCCTAACAGAGGGGTAAATAATGGGACTAACTCAAACCTTTAGGAATGTCCTCAGGCCCAACAACTGCTTCTGACTAACCCTCCCCACCCACAGCACCCCCACTCCACAAGGCACATGCCGGGGACGTTTGTTACTCTGCGTGGAGAGAGAACAAACAAGTGAAAATAGCATGTGGGAAAGTCCCAAGACTCCACCGGAGAAGTGACCTGTCCCAGGGTGACCTGTGAAGTCAGCAGACCTGAAACGGGAAAGCAGGTCCTTCCCCGGCAGCACCGGGGAAAGCAGGGGCTGGCAGCACCGGCCTAGGAAACCTCAGGGACAGCCACCATCACCGGGGGATGTCCCCCACTTCACATAAGGATGCCGGTACAAGAAGGAGACGGAGAATGCTCTGTTTAACCTACACACGATGACCGGTTTTAATTGGACACTAAGATTCGTTTATTCAAACCTCGGTTTTAATCTCCTGTGCATCCTCTCCCACCTTCTCCTGCAAGGTCCCTGGCAGCACCATGGCACCCTGAGACCGTCCACGTACCACCTACTGGGCTAACGAGGGCATAAGCCCGGGCATCACCAGCTCCTGGGGACAGGACCATACCTGGCCCCCTCAGAGGTCCTGACAGAAAACCCAGAAAGACAGAGCGGCACCGACCACTGCAGCAGCAGATCTGTGACCCACCACAGCTGCCCGTCCACTGAGGCGCTACCAGGCATTTTACCCGCATTACCTGCCATCTTCACAACTATCCAGGAGTACTAATCATTAGACAGTGTTCCAACAGGAAAATGAGGTACAGAGAGGTTAAAACACAATTCGCCAAGGTCATACGTCAAGTACGTGGTGAAACCAGGATCTCAGCCTATTATACTTGACTCCAAAACTTAGTTTTCCCACTGTATCATGCTGCCTCCCCAATCTGGCGAGCTAATACGGACACGTGAGCAGGACAACCAAAGTAGGACCTGGGTTTGTGTATTAAGGTGACAAGCCAGGCCCTGGCACAGAAGTATGGGGGGGGGGTCATCAGGCTTCAATTATCTGTCCATACGAGTCTCACCTGGCCAGAGTCCCGACACTAAGAGCAGGCCCACCCTCCTCCATGCTACCCATGAAGAAACTCAAGTCTAGAGTGTCACAAGAACCCAGTCAGTCACAAAGCTAGCTCGGGCTCTGCTGGGACTAAGACACAGGCGCCCTCCACTCCCGTTGTTTTTCCCATGACATAATAGTACCTGTCCCCCACCCCACTTGGGAGCGGAAGTATCGCTCTCACTAACTTAATGGAGCGTGGATCCTACTCCTACTTGGAAGAGCAAAACCCGGGACTTGTTTCTCTATGCTCTGCCGGTTCCACTGACAGATCTTGCGATGACAGTACTCAGCTGAATAAACTACATGTTTGTTTCATGAACCAAGACGAGAAAATTGCCCAGACTCTGAGGTCAGAGGCTCTGGGCTAGAACTTACAAAATTTCAATGTGCCAGTAATTTGCCCTGTGACTAGAAGCTACCTCATCATTTCCTGTGTCTCCCTCCCTCTTTCACACAATGAAGCTCAAACCTTAGCCATCTTCCACGCCTTTGCTCAGTCGCCCCCACTCCCTGCCCCTGCTGGGTCCTGTCCATCCTAACTCTGCTAACACCGTTCTCTTCTCTCCCCAGCTCCCTTTCCCACCACCTAAGGACGGCAGCTCCACTCTTGTCCAGATCAGCCACCCCAGCTGCAGTCTTCACTTGCATTTCCTCTGTCAGAACCATCGTCCAACACAGAGCAGTGGCCGTTTCACTTGCCTTGCTCCAAGCCCTGTGGTAGCTCTCCCCTGCCTACTGGAACCAAATTAGAAGTCTTGGTCCCCACAACTGGGCCCCAAGCTACTTTCTAGTGTCTCTTGGTGCAAACCTCTGTACACTCCAGCCACCTGACACTCTTGGAATAAGCCACTATCTGTGTATCCGTGCCATGCACCTTCTTGGCTTACCTGCATCAGTCACCCTGTCCTATCACAAAGTCCTGACCCCCTCCCCTTCCACCACGAAGCCTCCCGATCTCTCCTAGTAGAAGCACGCTCTCTGCTCCATGTCCTACAGGCTTAACTCACAGGCTCGGCTCCCCAGCCACTGGCATTTCTGCACCTTCAGTTCACAGGGGACACGGGGCCTGGGAATAGGCAGGCGTACACTCAGGGCACAGGGGATTGATCACGGGCTGGCTGGAGAGAGTGACAGAGCCTCTAGAAAGCGTTCTGGAGACAAAGAGCTGGAAAAGCAGGGTAACAGGACGGGCTGCCCAGTGCTGCAGGAACAGGGCCATCCTGTCCTCAGATGTAGTCCCCAACATCAAGATCTGGATGCTTTGTGGGAAAAATCACAAGTAGCCAATAAGCATTTAACCAAACCTTTTCCCAGCAAAACCAGAATGTCAACTTCGCATTTCATCTCCCTGACCAAAATACTGTGTGACTAATCCCTTCTCGAATGTCAGCAAACGTCTGGGCAGGAGGCTGTGCCCTGTGACCTCACAGCTGCCTTCAGGAAGGCAGGCACAGGCTCTAGACTGGATGGAGGGACGCCCTGCCATGGGCTCCCAGCTCCCTGTCCCCACGGGAGCCACCAACAGGATCACCTGAGGCTTTTAGGACGCACCTCTGCGGGAGAGCCGGGTGTCCGCATCTGTGTCGACGAAAAGCTTCATCTGGAACAGGTCTCGGACCTCCTGGGAGTAGAAGGCCAGGATCCCTTCAAAGAGCACCACGTCTGCAGGGTAGACAGTAACCGTCTCCTCCTTCCTGCAAAGCAAAGCACAGAGCGGGTGACGGCCACGCCAGGCAGGGGACAGCAGGGGAGAGGAGAACGGGGGCCAGAGCATCTGGCTGGGCTGAGTTCTGGGTTCCATCCCCCCCTCGGACTTCAAAAGCAGGGGCGAGGAGCTCAGCTAACTCAGCCTCTCAGAGCCCCCGGACCACCACCAAGAGTCAAAAGGGGGCCGTGCCGCTGGGACAAAGGTCTCCTTTGACCAGTTCTTCTGAGCTTTCACCATAAAGCAGAAACAGAGGGCAGACATCCTTCTCGGAATTTAAAAAAAAAAAAAAAAATCCTGCTGTTGAATGAAGAATAAAGAGAGACAAAAGCAGATGTGATTTCTTTTTCTCTCCGAAGGCGTCTCCAGGAATGCTCTCAACGCCTGGCATTCCTGGAACCTAACACTCTGAACTTTAAAAACAGAAACTCACAGTTTTCCCTCAACCACCCCACTCCCTCCTCCAAGACCAGAGGCAACTGAAAGGATGGAGGAAGGGAGGGGCAGGGGAAGAAAGGAGGGGAAAACAGACAAGTTTTGGCAGAGAGGATACCAGGCGGCATTTCCGTGGAAGTACAGAATCCCAAGCTCTGTCTGGTCTGGCTCTACCTGCACGGTGGCCACTCACTCCCTCGGGCTCCCCTCCTTATTAGTAAGGCAGGGAGGCACATGGCCCCATCCACCGCCCCACACGGTGGGGACTTCTCAAAAGCCAGGGGAGGGTTTATGAGAGCTGGCCTCTCCCAGGTGGGCCCGCTGGGTCCGGCTCTGCCGTGCCTCACCTCCCGTGTTCTTATCCTCTGACTCTGTCCTATACCCGCCTCACACGTGCTGGTTACACTGCCTCTTGCTCAGAATTCACTGACACGGAAATAATGATCATCGCTGCAAGGTTTATGCTCACTCTAGCAGATTGGAAAAATTTGCGAATAAAACAAAATGCTTTCAAAGTTCCTTAAGACAATAGTTCTATCTGTGCAAACACAGCAACCTCCAACTAAAGAGGATGCCGTTGGAACTTCCCTCCCATAAATGCTCTCTGATGCCCTATTCGCCCAGACCCTCAGGTTTGTGGTTGATTTTTAAAGCCGGCATTGTTGGGGTAACTGTTAAGTGGCAGAAGACAGGGCATGGACAACAGTAGGAAAAGACCACGTTAGGAAGATTAGGAGATTCTCTAGAACCGTGTTGTAGCCCGAATGCTTATCAGAATCATCTGGAGAACTTTTAAAAATATTTATACCTATCCTCTATGCCCTGAGGCTCTGATTTTCTTGTCTGGGGTGGAGCTAGAGCTTCCGTATTGTTAGAAGCTCCCCGGGCCAGGGCCGAGAAGCACAAGTGCAGAGGAATGTCAGCCGCTGGGTAACAGGGTGCACCTACTGGACATAAGAAAGCAACCAGGGCAGAGTTCAGAAGTGGAGACAAAACAGGATTCATGGATTAGTGAAAGAACGGGCCAGTCTAGGCAATAGTCCTACACCAAGGAGAAGGGAAAAGGCTCTGCTGGGGAACAAAGAAAATGAATTTTTGGGACTCCTAGGGTTCCATTTGAAAAACATGCTAACAGAGAAGACAAGGACTATGCTGGGTTTACCAAGAGGGGGTGAGTACCCCTTATCGCCAATGCCTGGGACCAGAGTGCCTCAGACATGTTGGATTTTTAAATATCTGCATTATACTTAGCTTACGTGTCCCTAGTGCAAGAGTCTGAAATCAGAAATGGTCCAATAAGCATTTCCTTTAATTGTCATGTTACTGCTCAAAAAGTTTCAAGTTTTAGAGCTTTTCAGATTAGGGACACTCAACCTGTATTGACATTACACAAAGCGATTATCAGGATGCCGTGATAAATATTAAAAAGCAATAGGTGCTTTTCCAGGAAGGAGAAAATAACTGCCTGCTTTGTTGTTGGTGCCCTCAAAAGTTGGAATCAATCATTTCCCAAGGCAAATGTAGGTCTGGGTAGGAGAAACTTTCAAAACAGCTCAGAGCTTTTAAAAGTAAGTAAATAAAAATTATTGAGCAATAAATATGCAGAATGTGCAAGGAGCCATACTAGGCTTAATATACCACTTAGGACTCTGCCTGGGAAGTCCCCCAAAGAAGCTCAGACCATCAGATCATAACTTAGTCCAACCACCTCATTTGGCTTATGAGGAAAAGAAAGACAAGAGAAGGGTATCTGCAGAGAATGGGTATCTTGGTCTAACAAAGTGTCCCTACGTTACTAAATCCCCATAGGCGGGTGGGATCAGAAAGCCCTACCTAAATAGCTGGATGCCTAACAAGCAGGCCTTGAGATTTGGGGAGGGGATGGAGAGGTGGCTGTGATGCAGGGTGGTCAGGGAAAGTTTCTCAGAAGAGATGGGCTCTGGGCCACTAAAGAGTAAGGTTTTAAAGAATAAGGTATGAGGCAAATCAACAGGAAGAGGGAAATCTGTCTGTATCGAGAATTCTGCTAGGATTTTCTTTGTTAACGCATGGACTTGGTGGAACTCCTACTGCACAAGGCATTCGGCTTCCTCTCCTCTGTTCCTGGACCCGGCACTGGTGGGCCCTGACTCCCGCCAGCCACCCTCCCTTCCACTGCCTTATCCGTTTCTCAATGGGCTGCTCCAAAGGCTTCTTCATAGACGGCATTGTGGGCCCTCTCTCTTCCTGCCAGCACATGATCTTTCTGCTCCGACATTAGAGCCACCTGAGGCTCCCTAATGCCAACATGCTTGTGCTCCTGGCCCTGCCGTCTACAGCCCTTCATAATCCGGGGCCCGTTTGCCTCCCCACTTCCCAGATGCAGCTTCCTACCAAGCTTGTCTGGGCCTATCCCTGCAATGCTTCCCTATCCATCACCTTGGAAATCCCTCTCCAAAACCAGTTTCTCATCCTTTCCAATATAACGCTTACCCATCACCTCCTCTGTACAGCCTGCTCTACACCCTCCAGCTCTTCCCTCCCGTACCCTCTTCTGCAGGCCCTTGCCTTGGCTGTCAGGCTGCATTTTAACCCTCTGCACTTGCTTGTTTCTTTCTCATTATCCACTCGACATTATCCACACTCGACATCCGAGTGCAAAGGGTTAACTTTAGTGGGTGCCCACCCTGAACGTGGCAAGTGGCAGGCTAGACTGTCTCTTGTCAACTTGGCACCACCAGGACTCCTTTCTAAGGGGGAGCTACGATTCCCTGAATCCCTCTCCCCGTGTGCTTGCAGGCTGTCTTAGACTCAGAAGGTGAAAGTGAAGCAGAATGTATAACATTCAGGAGACTGTGACAGAGAGACAGGGACGCTTTGCAAATACTCCACAAGCTCCCACACTGAGGCTGGGGCCCAGGCACGGTGGTTTCTTAGACTTTTCCATGGATCCCAGCTCCAGGGCCTCAGGCTGGAGCCACCGGGGACTATTTTTTCTCTGATCTCTCGACAGCTTCTACAGGTCTTCACTCTCCCAGGCCAATGTTTGCGCAAGCTCGAGTTCCTACACTAAGCTCCATTATTCTTGCGTGATCTGTAGTGGTTTGGTGGCAGGCGTGACATGACGCACAGTATCTTGATCTTTGAATCCCCCGCACGGTGGAATCTGGCCCAGAGTAGAAAGTGCTTCTGAGGACATCGGTGACAGGTGGGGGGTGAAGAGGCCCACTCTGCATTCCAACACATGCTCTCTCCCATCGCCCTCCTCCAGCCAAATCTTTGCTACGCTCTCAAGTTCTGGCTCATGTGTGCTGCATTAAAGGCTGGCAGAATTGCTCTGCACAGGTCGGAAGGAGGGTGGGCGTCCGGCCAACAGGAGTACCAGCCTCCGGGAGCCCGTTCCCACCACTCAGAGTGAAGCAGGATGGGATGGAAGCGTGGCCACTCCTCTATTCTTAACCAGGATCGTTCAAATCAAGGCTCCTGGTTGAAATGACTGGTTGGATTTGACTGAGAAACTTTCTGGAGGGTTTGGCTGATTCTGAGATTAGCATCTAGTGACCTCAAACCCTCACACCTCTGCACACGGTCTAATCCCAAGTGAACCAGGAGAACGGAAAGAACAACAGTTTTCTTTGTTCGGCTTCCTGCCCTTCCTCTAGCCACCCCCTTACAGCTTGTTCCAAGAACAGCAGCTCAGGGATGCAGATCAGAACACACGTGCAGTCCTCGTCCACGCTCATTCGTGAACCTCCCGAGGTAGGGAAGCATGATGACGGGACGGCCCCAGGAAGCATCTGGATGAACTCCCCAACCCCTGTGCCCAGAGGCATGTGCTGCTACCACTGCCGGCTGCAGGACTGAAGTGCTAGAGGCGAGGGGGTCTCAGCACAGACTAGAAAGGAACAGGCAGCAAGCCCAGCCCAGCCCAGAACAGCTTACTTACCGGGAATGGGAGACAAAGTCGTACACGGGGATCTGGACTGTTTTCCCTTCGGTGATTTCTTTGAGTGTTTTGAAGATGAGTTCATTGTCAAAGGCATCTGAAGGAAATCAAACTGTTAAAGTGTTTCTTATTTTAAAATAGCATCTCCTACAATCGTGCACAGGGCATCCTCACCGTACACAGGTAAAACCACAACACCCTACAGCAGCAGACTGCCCGCCCAAGCTGGATCTCTACCCGAAGCAGAATGAAAGTGCCCTGTGTGCCAGAATGGATGTATGAATGAGTTCCGACAAACTGATCTCTTTTCTTCTTCGACATTCCATCCCTGGCTTCAGAAAGCTCTCTCCCCTCTCCCAGTTCAGCTGTTACCCCAGGACTGGCACATGTTTACCTGGAAAGCGTACCCATGACTGGGGCATATAGGATAGGCATGAAGCCCAAAAAGTATGATTCCAACAACTGTAAGAAACCCAAACCAGTGAAAGGAGCAGGGTGCTGATTTGGGGCTACCAGGCAAACATCATTCCAGCAGCTGCTCCGACCCCTCCATCTCCCTTTCTGCTGGTGAGTGAGTTTGGTGCATGCGCCCTGTGCAGGCATGGGGAGGAGAGGAGGCAGAAGGACCGGCTGTGTACGTCGTAGCCTGCGTCTGGCCCGCCATGAATCACAGGCTCATGTGGAGTCGCCCTTGCTCGGGTACAGATTCAATCAGCATTAATATTTAATGAGCCAGGTGTGACAGGAAGTGTTTCAAAATTCCTTCTTTTACATAAGCCCCATGCTAACCCTGCGGGGCAGTTACCAGTCCCCTGTTTTAGAGATGGAAACAAGACTCAGAGAGGTCTAAGCGGCTTGCTCACGAGCAGAAGAAAAACACTCCCCCGGCCCCAGCACACACCCCGCCTTCGACGCCCCAACTCACCCGGGTGATCGAAGTTGAACTGGCCCTTCAGGGCTTTGGCCTTCTGCTCGGAGGTGAGGACACGGTAGAAGCTGTCCTGGCTCACGATGACCACCTTCTTCTGGCGGTAGTCCACCTCATTCTGCCCCAGGAGCTGCACGATCTTGGCACAAACGGAGGACTGCAAGGAGAGAGCGAAGAGTCAGCGAGCTGAAGCACACTCTCTAGGAAAGGGCTTTGGAGGGAAGAAGCCAGAGGCTGCCGTCAGGTGTGATGAATTAAAAGAGAGAGACGAGAGAAGGACCTGCCTCAGACGCCTGCTGCAAGGGAAGTCTAGGGTTCCCGCACATCCCTTCCCGGTATCTGCAGTGATGCTGAGGGAAGGAGAGCAGTGAGCTCTTTCTCTCTTCTTCCATAAAAGCCCTTCCCAAAGTCACTGATAAGAGATAATGCTACTTTATTCTGCCTGCCTGTGCTCTGGTACATACAAACAAACGGTACACACACACGCACCAAAAAAGGCAGTAGAAAGTGGAACAAGGACCTTGGCATCATGATGTGACAGCGCTCAATGGGACATTCCTCAGGCCTGTACATATCTTTCTATAAAGAGAATCAAAAAACACAGCCAGGGAGCTCAACTACTTAGCAGGAGAGCCAAGCTAGCCTGTGGCTTTAATCCTACTTCTGTTGGCTACTTTTGCTCTGGTCCATAGCAACAGACTTCTTTGCCCTTAGAGTAAACCAGGCACAAATGTGTGCAAACACTTACATAAGCAGGAGCAGGACACAAACGTCACCAACACCTAAAACAGCTTCGGGGTATCCTATCTAAGAGTGGGGAAGCCAGTTCCAAATGACTTCAAACCCACATGCTTTGTGCCGTGTTGTGTTGTAATAATACATACGTATATCTCCCTCCCTTTCTTCTCCAATAACATATACTCTTTGTGAAAGGAAAATTATGAAAACAAGCACATTCAAAAGACTGAGGTAGCAAATGATTGTATTTATCAAACAATTGATTTCATATTTTCATTTGATACAAAGATTTAAAAATAAGAATGTCTATGTTATAAAAAAAAAAACAACTCTAAAAGACATAACCTAACCCTCCTTATAGAACTGGCTAGCCTAATTATAAGAGATGGAAACATAGCATATTTAAAGGTTTGGGTGCTCAACCTTAGAACCCTTACTATTGAACTTATTTTACCAAATGACTTTAACAAACAAAAACCATGAAATCTTTTTAAAGTTACAATTCTTATGGAAGTTGTGTATTTGATTTGTCTGAGCATGAGGAAAAGTGGCCATTTCAGTTGTGGTAGTCAATGCAAACTAAACCACTTTACACAGTATGTCCTGTTGTACAAGTCCTGACATATAACCAAATAAGGATCTTCGGAGGAACAATAACATGTTTACTCTGATGTTAATTATTTGAAAACAATTTCTTTTATTCTCATGACAATTTTGCATACTAACACAGAAAAGAATTTAAAGACACTCTGGAGTTTTAGACTGCAGATTCCTCCCCACCACCACCCCCCACCAAAGTCACAGGAAGGTAAAACTTGCACATAACAAACCAGATTCAAAAACGAAAATGAAATCAAATTTCAAAAATGAAAATCAATGGCTCTATACAATTAGAAACTGTAAGTTTTTAAACATCTGTAGACCCACAATTTCCTTTCCTAACTGTTATCTGTTTCTTACTTCCTAAGATTGCAGGGAGGTGAAGTCTAATAAATACTATAGCCTTTACTAGTAGTAGACAGAATTCCTTTTATAAGTCCAAAAAACAAAAAAATGAAAAGAGGGCTTCATGGAGCCAGATGTATATCCTCTATCTGGTTATTCAAATTACATTATTTATAGTTAAAACCCATATTTATAGTTAAAACCCATTACTTTTAATATGGACAGTAATCCTATCACCACCAAAAATATATATGTGTATTAAAAGGTTACACTACCTCCCTTTGCTGATGAACTATCACTTCCTCTAACCAGGGCATGACCCAGGACAGAATCTGCACAATGGCCAGCAAAACTGAGTCAATGAACATAGACTTGGTTCAATTCTACAAAGTTGGCACTCATCACAATTCTTGATCAACAATAAAGTATCGCTGTGCATGGTGGCTCACCCCTGTAATCCCGGCACTTTGGGAGGCCGAGGAAGGGGGATGGCATGAGCCAAGAAGTTGAGGCTGCAATGAATTGGGCTGATGCCTCTGCATTCCAGTCCAGGTAACAGAGTAAGACCATGTCTCAAAAAATAAATAAATAAATAAAAAGTACGGCCTTTACTTTTTGACCCACAGCTGCGTATCTCAGTCCCGTGTTTTCAAGAAAGACCTGGCTGGTGACCCTTCGCTTCCACAAACACACCACCACCAAGTGCTGATGCCCGTAACTGATTACTTATTAGGTGGCAGGCCCTACGTCAAATATGCCATCACAACCACCCTTAGAAGTCACATGTGCTCTCCTTCATGGATGAGGAAACACGGCTAAGTGACTTCCCCACAATCATACATTCCTGGCGCTTTACCTCAACCTAGAGATAATAAGATGTCCCAAGGCAGAAGAAATCCGTTATCACTTAGGAGATAAATATGGACTACATGGACAGGTAAAGAAATAACCTGCCTCTGGGTTAATCTCTGGGTTAATATTTCAGGTATTTTCCTCCTCCCGGACTATGTTAGAAATGAGCCATAAAAAAATCTAGATGACTGCTGGATCTGGGTGAAAGGTACAGAGATGTTGGTGATACCATTCCCTGTGCTTCTGCGTAGGTCTGGATTTTCACAAGGTGGAGAGGAAGGAGGAACCCTACAGAGGCTCCTCTCTGCCCCAGAGGGTGGTCTTTTCCTTACTTAATGCCCACCTCTTTGCATCTCTTCACTTTAATTACAGTGTTCCCCTTTTCCCCAACCCTGCTCCCCTCTTCAAAAAGATGAAATGGAGCTTTGAGGTGTCTTCTTCCCTTAAAGAAAGGAAATAATTCACTAATGACTGGGGTTTGAGAAGGCAGGCAATCATGAGCCAACAGAAACCTAAAAATGCTTCCCAACAGGTAGAAAACATAAATGCTCCAGGTGATGGACACCCCAAATGCCCTGACTTGATCATTACACATTCTATGCATGTATGTAACAAGATATCACATGTACCATGTAAGTACATACGAACAGTGTCAATAAAAATAATTTTTAAAAAGAAACCTCATGCGAGAAACTGCATTTATCACAAAAAGACAAATATCGTATGACTCCACTTATATCAAGTATGTAGAGTAGTGAATTCACAGAAAGAAAGTTAAATGGCAGCTGCAAGGGCTGAGGGAGGGGAAATGGGGAGTCATTGTTTCAGTTTTATGGGGTTAAAAGGTTCTGGAGATTGGTCATCCAACAATGTGAATGCACTCAATACTATTGAAATGGACACTTAAAATGGTTAATATGATAAATTTTGTTGTTGTGTTTTGACCACGGCCCAAATATCATTATTATAACAGAGGCCAGTTCTTCCTATGTGCTAATTACTGGGCTCAGCACTTTAAAATGCCTCATCTGCATACTACAACCTGTAATTTACATGATGGGAATTTTGTTTTGTTTTTAATTTCTTTTTATTCTTTATTGTTTTTTCTTTTTCAGTTGGCCAATTAACGTTTTGGTTTTTTTTTGGAAGAGACGGGGTCCTCGCTCTTGCTCAGGCTGGGTCTTGAATCCTGAGTCAAACGATCCGCCCACCTCGGCCTCCCAGAGTGCTAGGATTACAGGCGTGAGGCACTGCACCGGGCCATGATGGAAATTTATTATATCACTCTACTGATGGCAAACACTGAGGCAGAGAGAGGTCACATGGCTTGCCCAAGGGCAGGGCGTGGTGGCTCACCCCTGTAATCCTAGCACTCTGGGAGGCCAGGTGGGAGGATCGCTTGAGATCAGGAGTTTGAGACCAGCCTCCAGCCTCCAGCCTCACAGCAAGAGCAAGACAACCATCTCTACTAAAAATAGAAAGAAATTAGCAGGGCAACTAAAAGTAGGAGAGGTTAGTGGCTCACACCTGTAGTCCCAGCTACTTGGGAGGCTGAGGCAGGAGGATCGCTTAAGGCCAGGAGTTTGAAGTTGCTATGAGCTACTAGCCCAGGCAACACAGAGAGAGACTCTGTCTCAAAAAAACAAAAACAAAAAAGGCTTGCCTACGCACTGGGCGGTGGAGCCAGGATTCCAACCCTAGCAGTCCATCGCCAGAGCCTACTCTCTTAGAGGGTGCAATGCACCATCTCACAGGCAAACTCACACTGCGCACTGGAGCTCAAGCTCAGCTTAGTTTTACATAATTATCTCCGTATTTAATGAGATGCATCCAGAATAATATATTCTGTCCTTGCTAGTTCTAGAACATTATTCATAAAGGGTAGGGGGGGTGATAGGCTTGCTAGGACTGTGGGTTGCTGTCCAAATACAAAGTTAAGAAACGGCCCAATACAAAGTACCTTTAGAAAATGAAGGAAAAAAATCATATGGAAGAATCAGTGAAAGTGATTTACAACTTCTTCACTTACACATCTTCAGCATTCTGAAGATGTTATCTCATTTAATTCCACTACAAAAAGATGTTACTTTATCTTTTATTCTCCTAATGAGAAAATTGAAGCTTAGAGAATCTATCAAGTTAAATGATTTGCTCACGGTCCCAGAGCTCAGTCTCAAAACCACAGATCTAACTCCAAGTGCACAATTCTTTTCACTATTCCAGAACTGAAGCAGCTTTGGCACTGGCCGCAGTGTTCTCTCTAAGTTTACTTCACTTCTGCAGAACAATGATAGGGGAGAAGAGAACTGATTAGAAACAGAATACTGTTTTGTCCCACTGCATCCTTAAAGTCAATATTTATGTTAAATTTCATAAAATTTCACACATCTATAAAGGCAGGCAGGTAATATATATATACTAAAAGGAAGCCAGAAGTCCACCAAAAAAAAAAAACCTGTTCTAGCAATTTTTATGTTCAAAAGAATCCAGCTGTTAGGAGCTAGTAACCACGGGGCCCAGAGTCCACTAGATGTGCGGGACAATGACCTTCTTTCACAGAGACTTCCCATTCGGGAAGCCCCAGGAACAGTCAACAGTTCATCAACAAGCTCCTCCAGCTGGCAGTCTCCAAAAGGGTGCATGTTGCACCTGCACAGGTTCCTGAATTGCTATAGAAAGGACATTTCCCTAAAATCATTTTCACATGGGAGGCAGCCCGAGACAGCCTCAACACCCCTTACTTATGCCAGTTCCAGTGTGTGTCTTCCGGGATGTAATCCTCAAGATCCTTGTGCACGCGTAAATCAAAACAAACGGGGCGACAGAGCTCTCATCGCCTGCCTACCACATACCCTCCACCCCCAACAATTAACTGCTCAGAACCAGGCGGGGCCCGGGCCTGGACAGCTAAGAGCAGCTCAGCCCTCAGAGGGCTTCAGGCGGGGCGTATTCGTCCCTAGGGGGATGGCTGGTGCTTCTCGCAGTCAACCTCACAGAGCGTAGGACAAGAGCCATGCTGCCCAACTTGCCGGAATCTCATTCAGCTGTCTGTCCCACTCTGCGTGGGCTGCTTCAGCACCAAAGGGAAGGATGTTCCGGGGGAGGAAAACCTGGCACCCACACAGCCCAGAGCTTCAAAGAGCCAATCGGCCCCCGGTGAGGAGCATGGATTGGTCACTTCCTCCCCCCTCTTCCTAATGGGACCGTCAACCCCGCCGCAGGTGACAGTGCCAGAAGGCCAGACGCTGCTCAGCCTTCCCAGGCAGGAAGACCCCATGTGGCTCCTTGGCTCTGGGACCATGTGTGGGTCTGCCAGGGAAAACCCATTTGTACAGGCGATAGGTTTCTTAGGCCAGACAAAATGATTCCCATTCTTGCCCGCCTTCCAGTAAGGCGTGAGTCAGCACGGTTATGTAACAATGACGTCACCTCCCATGTAAAACCCATGTGATCGCGCCTTTTCTTGGCATGCTGCCACTATTGTTCTGAGCTGTACATCATGCT